CCCTCCACCGGCGCCTCTGGTTGATCTGGGAGAGCATGATCTTCATGCCAGGGTGCCGATGGTGAAGCTGGTGCAGGTCCTCCTTCATCTGGTTCAGCAACTGAACACTGGGCACATCCCCCAAGTCACAGTGGATGAGGAGGACATCCGGGACTGCTATTCCTCGCAGGGAGTAGGAAAAGAAAGGGAGGACACCTCTCCAGCGCAGTCCACCCCAACTGAACCAGCACACCCTCAGGTCGAGGCCAAGGTTGCTGCCGATGGTCTCTGTAGCTCTCTGGGCTCCACGCCGGACGTAGCTGTCTCCGATTATCCATACAGTCACTATGGGAGGAAAATAAATGAGTGTAACAAATGCTTCAGATAATGAGGAATATCAAAGTAAGTATAAAGGGTTGCTCATGTTGTTCCTTTGACAATAACATACAAAATAACTATGAAATCACACCTGTATGGTTAAAAGTAACAAGAGAGCAAAACCTCAAAAAACAGATTAACAGCACACAGTTTATATATATATATATATATATATATATATATATATATTTATATACTGCGTGCTGTTTATCTACAATTGTGCACACATGTATATATATATATACACACACATATATGTATAGTATGTTTGTGTGTAATGTCAACCATCTGAAGTCATGTAAAGTAAGCCAGGACCATCAACTTACAGGTTGTGCAGTTTGGCGTGGAGGAGGTTGCCATCTTCTTTTTTCTTAATGCTGAAAGAAATAAAAATGGTTTAATCAATATAAAAGCACCTTTCTTTTTCTACAGTCATATTTCATTCATTACATTTAATTCATGCAACACTGGCCATATCTCTGCTAGTTTACAAAGTTTAGTTACAAATGACATTTATATTTGAAAAACGGTGAAGCACTTAAAAAACAATTGTATAGTGTAGGTTCAAGAACATTTAAATCAAAAGGACAAGTTTTGTAAAGTTACAGGGTATCTTACCTTCAGAATATGCCGGGAACGAGGAGCAGTGACCGCAAGCTGGGTTGTTAGCATAGGCAGGGTTGTTAGCATAGACTGTGTTGTTAGCATAGGTTGTTAGCTTAATACTGAAAGCATGTTAGCTTAGCTTCTTAGCCTGAGCTAGGTCTGGAACATCACGCTCGTTGGCAGCAGGTCCCGCCCTGTCCCGCCTCGGCTCCGCCTCTTTGCCCTTATTTGGAGCAGGCGGGAGTTAGACTCTGACGTCACTGTCGAGCCGTTAGTGGCCGACTCCGCCTACTAAGGGCTTCACGGCAACTCTGCAGAATCCTATGGGTGACGTCACGGACCCTACGTCCATTTATATATACAGTCTATGGTTTTAACACAACCGGCAGTTAAAAGAAAAGTGGACGAGCCGTCGACAAGTCTTTCAGCTTTAATGCCAAAATCAACAAAGTGTGATGAGGCATATATCTCCCTTGACATCTAACGTGTTCGGTGCAGAGATCTCTCTTTCTCTCTCTCTCCTCTGTGTGGGGGGCGGGGCATCTCGCTCACAGACGATGTGGTCAATGCTCGTTTGCCATAAGTATTTTCACGGAAACACGAGCAATCTGTCCGTCAGCTGGCCAAAAGGCATCATATTCATACGGAGAAATGCACCGTTTTCAACTTCCTTAACTCGGAGTTCTGTTGTCCCAATTACGTGTAAGGTGGGAGAAGTACTCAGAAGGAGGCCCGGACTGGCCATCGGGAGGACCGGGAGGTTTCTCGATGGCCTGGCCTGTTGAGTGACCTGCTGATTTTTAAAATGTTTTATTAATATATTGTGAACGCAACGCTGTGGGTTTTCCTCACACAGGGTGACGTCTGTCTAAATGATGTGGCCTGCCGACATGGCCTATCCCATACCGATCATAAATCAGGGTGTGTGTATGTGTGGCGCGAGCGAGAGAGAGCGAGAGCGTGCACCGGTTACTTGTAATTTTGTTGTTAGCATCTGGTTAGCTAGCTGCTTTAAGGAGCTGTTTCAACAACAAGGTGGAGGAAGAGTCCTCTGCTGTCAGACTGAGAGAGATAACTACAGCTCAGGTGAGGTTAAGGACTCTCTGAGTGTTTAGATAGTTAATTTATGGCGCGTTTCCACTGCAGCGCGGAGTTCGCTTTAAGCGTGCCGAGCCGTGCGGGGCCCGTTTTTGGTTGCGTTTCCACTTGGCCTAGTACCGGCTAGCGGGTCCTAATTCACAGTTTTTCTGGCCCCATAAAATCGTGGTTCTAGGGCCAGGAACAACCAGGCTGAGTCGGACTAAGTATGCTAAACTAGAGAGAGAATCGCTGGCAAGGGGGCTACAACTACAACAAGATGAAAATATTTTACCGTGATTTAAATTGTAATACATGTTTCAAAATGATGCCGAAGTAACAACATATTGATACCGGTTAGTAAAAACCATGAATTAATGCTTTGACAAGTCTACAGACAGACGGCAGGCGAAAAACCCTTTTAAAATGCATGTTTTCTGAATGGAGCTTGGCTAAGCTAACGTTATATATGCTCCGACCGTCCACACTCACAACAACGGCCTATACAGACATATATAAACCAGCGACTGTATTCTCCATGACACAGACAGTCTGTGGTTTGTACTTGTTTAACTTTTAGTTAGTAGTTTCTGAACAGATCGTATCTGTCGCCGGCTGTTTGAAGAGCAAGCATGGGAAACAAAAGACAGCATTTACCTGTTTGCATCCAGCTAGCCATGCCTTTCTGGTGTACAAGCTACGTGAGAAGCCTCGTTGATACGTTTTGTCTTTTTCACGAGCTTGCTGCGATATATACAAATCGGGTTGGTCCGGTCCAAGGTTATTAAGCAACAGTTTATATCCCAAACTTCTCCTTTCGAAAGGATTGGAGATTAGCTCTTGAACGGAATTGGGCGGGGACCGAGGTCCGGCGACTACACCTGCACATGAAGCCATTCTCATCCAACTACTGTGTCACCTTGGTCACTCACGAGTCTAAAAAACAACTCACGTCAACGCACGTAAGCAACGTGGGCGCCAACGTGAGCGCCCTCGTGACCAAAATATTTGACGGCGCTGATTGGCTGAAATTATGTTTCGGCGGCACAGTTTACTATTGAGACTTTTGCAACGTGCTGGTTGCAGCTGTTTGGCTCGGGGGCTCCGCCCGGTAATGATAAACTAATGCCATGGGCAAGGCCAGGCAGGAATCATGTGACTTATCAGTAACTTTAGACATCGTAACACAATTTTTACTGATACCAATTGTATGATATTTACCTTGTTCATTAAAAATAAAAATATAAAATATATATATGTTTTTAAAAAAAAATGTATTTAATAGTTTTTTTGTATGTGGGAAGAGGTGGGGCGGCGCCCCTAGCGCCCCTATGGGCCGGCCGCCACTGGTACTCACATAGGCTACGTTGAGAACTAGAAACACATATATTCATACTTTTTCACTGTTGTTAACATGTTTTAGTTTCTAACTTAACGTTTATGCGTTTGTCTATGTGGTCTTTGTTCTCATGTGTTTTATCTATTTCTGTGTAACTTGGTAATATTAATATAAATTCCTTGTTATTGTTGTATTTCCATGACCGGTGATGATTATAGCTACTACATAACGAAACACATGGCCTGATTTGCATATGTGAACTTAATGTGTGCACTAGAATAATACGTAAAATGACCACTTATCACAACGTAATGTAGGCTCGCAGGCTGATGAACTAGGATATGATCTCGTGGGTCTTAATGATGCTCAGTCAGTATACTATTTCAAAGCAAATGCCTACTGTAATATTTATATTATATGGCTTAAAGTGTGCATACATTCGCTCACATTATAAAAGATGGTCGGGTTGAATTGTTTTGAGTCTTTTAACAATGTTAATGTGAGAAAATAAACTGGAATGATAAATTACATCGTATTGATCCGTGGCTCACTCATAACGCGCATGGCACGAGGGATTTTTGCTATTGGGACTGGGGTTTGAGTACAGCATGAACTTTTTTGTTATTTTCATGTCGACGGACATTGAATAATATTTTTTATAATAATATAATATATTGTTTGCTGAGAACAAAATTAACGATCAAGCAGCATTTTAAATTCTAAATATCCCTGCAAATGTAGCAATAACATTTCTGCTTCTATCTTTGCAAAACGAGTAAACAGTCAAATGTGATCTGGATAAGTCTGGCAAAGTGCAGAATACCGTTTTGATAAGGGGGATACATGTGTGTAGTCTTTAATATTAAACATGATCGCTGGTTGATAACCACAGAACTCGTATCACAGTTTAATCTTTAATCACTGTTTACCACAGCTCTCCACGCTGCGTTGGAGATGGGTGTAAAGTTGACAACTCAGACAGACTGTATGTTTCACTAACAGACGGTATGAAAGTATAAACGGGTCTCAAATCAACTCGATATCATATTAATAACGATATATGATACAAATATAAGACTGACAACAAGAACAAGCCACAGAAGTCGTATCACAGTTTATCTTGGGCGGATCACAGCTCCACGCTGCTTTCAAACTGTGAGTAAACAACGTGTGCTTCACTTGTAGGCTGTCTGAAGGTATACACAGGTCTCAGATGGACTTGGTATCACATTAAGAATGATATTCAGTAATAAGTCTGGGGAAAATAAATGGTTTAAATGATTTATTCAAGCTTGCAATGTTTTGGTCACCTCGTGTCTTTTTGTAGTCCTCGCCCGCATATCGGCATCGCAACCACAACCTCACACACTGGTACTGAAAGTGCATCAAAGTGTTCCTATGGAGCCAAATATACCAAAAGATTTATGCAAACGACAGAAGAAGCGATCGAAATGTGTATTTCCTGGTTATTCGACAAAGGCCACGCCCCTGGTACATCTGCCTATACGTTATAGAATATCACCAGTTGTTCGGCCCACATCTTATTCGGTAACACCGGCCCCCGGGCCGTAGTTTGGACACCCCTGGTTTAAAGTGTTAATGAAGAGTAAAGGGAACAGACCTGCTCTGTGTATCCGAAGCTGAGGCTGTAAAACAGCGTCCAGTAGTTTCTGGAGTCTCTTGTTCTCCTCTTTTAAACGAGACAGCTCCTCTTCGTACTCTGCTATCGTTTTTTCAAACAGAGCAAATATCTCTTCAGCAGTGAGTCGCTGCTTCTTCAACGACAGCAGCATTTGGACTTTACTCATGTTTCCTAGATCACCTGTTCCTGCAAACTCCGTTAAACACACCGTTTCTCTCTCCATCAAACTCTCAATCTGACTAGTGTTGCCAACGTGTTTCCAGCTAGCATGCTAAGCTAGCTCCTATAGTCCGAGGTAAACGCTCCAGAAAAAAGAGCACACAGTCCATTCGGAGGTTTATCCAAACACACAGATGATGGATCAGTAGAGCTGGAGCTCACACACGCTTTCTCAGGAACACAGAGAGAGAACCGTAGCGACGAGACGCCACATGGATCCAGGGTGACTAACCGATCTGAATGCCCGATTTGCAATGAGCATCTTCTTCTTCTTCTTCTTCTTCTCTCGTTTTTGGCGGATTGCAAACAACTTAAAAGGTGCATACCGCCACCTACCGTACATGAGTATGAATCATCATATCATTCCACTCTTTAACCTATGATCTAATCAAAATAAATCAACAAAAACATCAAATAAATAAAACAAAATTAAAAATCTATGTTCTTTCCTGACCTAATGTTAAATAATTTTTCCTACCCCAGTTTCACTCAAGAATGTAAACAGTGCCTTTCTGTTAGCTCTTACTCCCTCTCCTTTTGTTCCCAAAACACCAACCACACTCCATTCCCTCTCTACCTCTAAGACTTCAGCCTTTAGTTGTTCTCTTTCCGCTTTATAGATGTCACAATGTAACAAGATATGTTCTACATCTTCTTTTACTCCACAGTTCCCACACTTGTTACTGTCACTTGTCCCTATGATCAAGGCCGGATTAACCATATGGGCAACCTGGGCAAGTGCCCAGGGGCCCTTGAACAAAGAGGGCCCTCAGTGACAAGATACACATTTTTTTTTCTTTTTTTTTATCTTGTCTTTTTCGGGCTCAACCTCACTCATCATACATTCTTTTAAATGACACTCACTCTTCACCATAAATAACACAGCTTTTCTATAGGGTGAAATTAATATATTTTCTGAACCGTCTCTGTACTGTAGGTCTCACTATGTATGCGCTCAACTTTATTACTACGCAGCGGCGGTGTATAGCCGAATCACAGCCCCACCCTCACTCATGTCACATTTTGTCACGTGAGCTGAACAAATGGATGGTGCCGGTAGCAGCCAAACGCCCAGCAGGGCTGCGAAAAGAAAGAAAAAGAAGAGAGAGTGGCGGCTGCATTAAAAAATTTCCCAACAATAAATAGCTTTTTCAAAAAAGCAAAAAGTTACGAAATAGGCCAGCAACCACAAGGAACGGTGGCGGTGGTCACGGAGGATGTTGTTGAGCTAGCGAGCAATGTTAGCCTTGAGCCTTGGATTTTGATGACCTAATCACAGACTTTTCAAAGAGAAAGGCAAGGAAGAAACACTTCTAAAAGGTAAGATCCACTGTCTCTCACACACACTCATTCTCTCGCGCTCTCTCTCTCACACACACACACACACACTCACACTCACACTCACACTCACTCTCTCTCCCTCTCACATATATACACACACACACACACACACACACACACACACACACACACACACACACACACACACACACTATCTTCCATCACATATACTGATCACTTAGTTGAGCAACCACACAATTTCACTATATATTTTACTTTTGTAACTCTCAATGTTTGTGACTAATAGAAATCCTTGTGTACTTGTACAGCCAGCCAGTCATATTTTGGCATTAAGAGATCTTATCCATTTTATCTTTGTCTTGTGATTTCTGACTGAAAGGGCAAAAGGCTAGACTTACTTTGGTTGAACTATGTGGCTGCATCCCTGCTTTTGACAAATAGGTGTGCGATTTTACATACCAGATTGACATGTTGGGTAGGCGTGGTGTTACTTGTTGGTACGTGGGTTTGGGGCAGGGGCAGACTGGCCATCGGGAATACCGGGAGTTTTCCCGGTGGGCCGGTGCTGTACGTGGGCCGGAGGGCCGCTCGGATTTGGAAAAAAATACAATACGATGCTGCGCATTATATTCCCCCAGCCCGCCACTGGTTGGGGGGGGGGCATGAGCGCTCAGTGCCCAGGGGCCTCTGGAGGTACTAATCCGGCCTTGCCCATGATATACAGCGTACCATTCAAAGTCGTGTGATTTATTCTGAGTCTCGCTATCGTGATTTCCTCCCTTCTGTTTCTTTCTTTATAAATATTAATTGTAATTGTCTTTTGTACTTTGTGATACTCTTTGCCTTTCTGGTCTTCCTCCCACCTTTTCTGCCAGATCTCCATCCCTTTCTTCTTCATTACTGCTTTTCCTTCTCCTTTTCCAAGTTGAACTGGTAATGTTATTTCCTTAGTGCACTTTTTGCTCATTTATCAGCACACTCGTTCCCTTTCACCCCCTCATGTGCAGGCACCCAGCAGAACTGCAGATCTACCACCTCTGTGAAGTCTTAACAGGCTGTGGTTAAGTTCTATGAGAATGTCTTCTCAGACAGTTGTTGTTGATTGTATACTTTTTAATATGGACTATGAATCTGTGCATATCACCACCCTATCTGGTCTGACCTCTTCAACCCACTGTAATCCTATTATTACAGCAAGCATTTCTGCTGTGTACACTGATAATTGATCAGACGCTCTTTTTGAAATCGATTGATTACTATGCATTTTCCATGTATATTTGCTATCAAACCACAGTCCTAGGTATTTGAACTCATTCACCTTTGTCATTGGATGATCATTTAATGTTCGCTGTTGGCCATCAATCTTGCGTTTGTTTGTAAATACCATGTAGCATGACTTGCTTTCTGACATTTTGAATCCCCAATTATATGACCACCTCTCCACTTTTTTAATCGCTCTAGCTATATTCTCCATTACGTATTGGGCATGTCTTCCCTCATCCAAATAGCCCCATCATCTGCGTATAGAGCCGATTGGATGCATGTGTCTAAGCATGTAAATATGTCATTAATCATGATGTTAAACAATATTGGGCTAACTGCACTCCCTTGGGGGATACCATTTTCTATTTCAAAATAATTGGAAATATCTGCTCCAACCTTTACTCTAAATGTCCTGTCTGTTAAAAAGGCCTTTACCCAATTGTACATTCTCCCTCCAATACCAATTCTACTCAATTTGATCAGTAATCCATCCCTCCACATAGAGTCATACGCCTTTTCAATGTCAAAGTACACTATTGCCATTATCTCTTTCATTTTCAGTGTTTTTACCACATCATTACTCACTCTTACATTACATGTTACTAAAGCATATATTGTGGACCGCCCTTTACGAAATCCGCTCTGAAAACTACTCAGCAGCCCTTTCTGTTCCAGTACATGTGAGAGCCTATGGACAATGATCTTTTCCATCCATGTACATAGGTGTGATGTAAGAGCTATTGGTCTATGGTTACTAGGGTTAGCTGTATCTTTCCCTGGCTTATTGAATGGTAGGACGACTGCTGTTTTTCACACACTTGGTATATCTCCTTCTCTCCAGATTGTATTGAAAAGACTCAGCCCCATTGTCATAGTTTCCATAGGTAACAGTCATAGCATAGCTGGTCTTGTCCTGGGGCTGTATATCCTGTACCTTGTAAGTATATTTTGAGTTCTGACATTGTAAATTCCACATCAAGAGCTGACCTATTACTAGTGATGGCAAAATGAAGCTTTGAATGAAGCATCGAACCACTTGGACAATTGTGTCGGAAATAGGTTCATTTCTCGAAGCTTCAGTTACAGCGACCTCTCCTGGTGAAGTGCAAGGCTGCAGTGGGTTTAACGTATCTTTGCCTTGAAAAATATTCGATGCACACACACACTAAGACTGAATATCATGTTCTATTTGCAATTAAAGATTGGTAATTGTGTGTATTGGGTTATTGAGAAGAGACTAGAGAGTGCTAGACATGTTTTTGGGAGGAGAGGGCCTTTTATCAGTTATTAAAGTTGAAAAGCAATTATTCAAATACATCCATTCCAGGCTTTGAACCAGCTGCGCGGAGGACATCACCGCATTTGGGCCGCCGGCTGTATCCACTGGGCTATCTATTCCTTGAAATATTGAACTGTTTTTATATTACTGATAATTGTCTTTTTGTTCACAACTTCTCCACATTTCGAAGTGTTTCCCGAGCCAGAACGACCTATCTTTCTTCCTGGCTTGCTCTATAATGATATCAAATGCAATACCAACAACAACTCAACAGCAACAACGCAAACTACAACAACAACCCACACATTGCGCATTGTTTAGAGCGGTCATAAAGTGTTGAAGAGCTCAAATTCGAAACTGTTTCAACCTGTCACCTGTCAGAATCGAGACGAGGCAATGCATTGAATCGCGTGAATGGACCGCGAACCAGTCAAGTGATTCATTCAGGAAATGAAGCAGTTGCTGCTTCGGACGTCACATGTCACGTGATTTAAAGCAGTTGCTGCTTCGGACGTCATATGTGATGTGATTTGAAGCAAGCTTCGAAGCACTGCTTCTATGGAATAGGAAGTCCAGGGTTGAAGCTCCGTTCGAAGCTTCAGTGTCAAACTGCCATCACTACCTATTACCCTGTCTCTTCTCCTTCACGTTTTCATTCTCTGCTAGTAACTGCTGTTTTTGCTACCTATGAATATCACTGAGATGCTCCCCACTATGTAGGCCTACTGCTGCAAGTGTCCTTCCTAACATATCTGCCTTCTCTTTATCTGTCACTGCCAGCCTCTCCCCATCAACCAAAGCTGGAATTTTAATGGGTTTCCTTTTCCCACTCATCCGCTTAAACATGGAGCAGACATCACCTAATTGTATTCCTCTGCCAATGGTAGAACACAATTCTCTCCATGTTTTCTTTTTTGTGTATTTGATTGTCCTTCGAGCAGCTGGCCTTTTCCTTTGATACTCTATAACATTGTTTTGTGTCATGATTTTCTTTAATTCTCTAAATGCATAATTTCGCTCTTTAATAGCCCTGCTGCATTCCTCATTCCATCATGGCACCACTTTCTTCCTACCCTTGGTTGTTGTTTTGGGTATACTGTTCTCTTCTGCATTTAGTATATGTTGCGTGAGGGGGAGAAAAAGAGATCTCCGTCCTCCGTGTTTTATTCTTATATGATTATATAGAGTCATTATTCATTTGTTTTAAAGCTCAATAAATAACAAAGAAGACCTTTGACCGGCACTTTTCTAATTTTGTCCGGAAGATTTAAACTTTAACGGACATGTTGACTGGCGAAAAAAAATCTAACTGAAACTCTGCCGCACGGTCCCCTCGTCCCTTGGAAGAGGCGGAGAGGTGGGTGTTTGTCATCTGCTGGTGGACTAACGGAGAGAATTACAGTGCTTGCCTCAACGGGGAGG